AAAAAAGCATTTAGTATCCCAAAGAATTTCTTCAGTCACCTCATTTCAATATGTGCAGAAAGGCTGGGATACTAGAAGTAGGACAATACAGAAGTTTACAGCGACAAAGCTTTTTTTGTTGTTTCGTTTTTTCTTTTTCCACATTTTAAAAAGAAGTTAGATATTTACATGGACTTTATAATTAAAAAAATCTTTTAAGTTTAATTCAAATTTTACGTAGAGTAAAGCACAAATAAATGTATTTTCTGATCTGTGACTTCTTGTTCATGGCATTTCTTACGTGATTTCTTAAGAGACCATTCCTATTTGGCATCCTGTCAGCTGTATAGGCACGTGGGCTGAATTTTGTTAGTGAACTGCTGTGGCAGTGATGCCTAAAGATGCAAATCAAATTTCACCAGACAAGGAAATAATAGTCATTATTTTAAAAATGCAATTTAGATATTCGGAACCCAGTTCTGCCTGACTGAAGAAATTAACTGCTACCCTTCAGCCTTCCCACACTGGCACGTTTAACAGACTGTGCAACTATGTTAACCTTATGGACAAATATGCTGGTTCTTTATATTCTAAACTGAATGATGAGAGCTGAGCAACACCTTGTGTTAGATGATAAAACTAACCATATGCTGTGGTTTTGCTCCCTTTCTTCCTTAATATAGCAGACTTTCTGTGCTAGCAATTCCCCAATTTCCTAGTTTTCTCTTTAAGTCATCTATGTATTTTCATTTCTTTCTGAAAAAAACAATTTCCAGAATTCTAAAACTATATGTATTTTGGTCTTCTTTATTACTTCTTTCCTGTTCTTTCTTGTGTTACTCATTATGCCGAATATTGCTTTCCAGGGTAAATCATAAAGCTCCTTGAGATATTTTTATTGGTGTGACTGAGAGCTGAGACTGGCAGCTGATGATCACTCCTCCACTTCCTCTTTTGTCAATCCTTCCCTGCTAAGAAGGGACACTTGACACTTGAACTAGACATAGCTCTTTGCTACCCACGTTTACTTTGAATACCCACTTGGGGAAACTGCTATAATAAAGTATTATTAAATTAAATTGCTATGAATGGGTACAGACTACTCACGTTTTGCTAGAAACATGACTGTTATCATGCAAAAATAATGTATATGATTCATAATGCATTTCCAAATATTTAGAGTTAAGTTTATAGGACCTGGATACTTGAATATATTTTCTCTCCAAGAGAATTCATACTGAGTTTTGTGATAAAGAATTTATAAAATAAGTTTAATTGATAGGACAATTAAGCTTATCTTTAGAATGTGAGCATTTAAATGCAGCCAACTGGCTCCTTTTATCCACCTGTGATCAATAATTTTGTGTAATAAAATATGTTAAAGCAGCTTACTTACGATTGATCTTGCTCATTTTTTAAAAATATTTATCATGCTCCAAGAATCAAAACATATATAAAATTGAGCATTTATATGGACCCTTGCAGATGATTTGGGGCACATGTGAAGAAACTATTCGGGTTTTGATGAAGAACTTTGCTTTTACTAAAAATGATAGCTGTAGGTAGTTATGATATGTTCGATGAGGTATGATTCCTTAGTCTACAGAAAAGCTGCCATTTACTGCATTAATCTTTAGAATATTCACTTAAAGTCAGTGGAGCCAGACTCAATATGCATAACCTACACAGCATCCAGGTGATCAGCTACAGTACACATAAATGTTACGATAATAAGTTAGGTAACTACTCTAATAATACTAAACTGAAGTACATTTTGGATGCCTGCCTTAGAATATTAATCAGACCCAGAGATCCAAATATGAACTAATTAAGACTCTCTATACATCATATATTGGCTGTATATTTTGTATCTTCTTGCTGCCTAACATAAATTGATGTGCTGTTATGTCTATTAGCTCTAGAAGCAGCATTTTGTTTCCCTTAACAACAGTTCTATATTCTAACTTATGGTACCACTAGGTCATAAGTGGCTATAAATTACTCTCATTACCTTAATCATTGCAGGACTGCTGAACAAGCCCCGTTCCATCGTAACAAAAATCACATTCAAGCACCTGCACCAGGCTTTAAGACTTGCTGCTGCTTATGACGAACAGGGATCTGAGCAATCAATACAGAAAACATTAATATGGCACAACATACTGTGTCTGTGGTAGAGACGTTAGCATGCCATTCATTATAGCAGCAATACCTCAACAGCAAACTTAGCCATCTCAAAGTGAATCAATACAAATTTTTGTTTCAGACAACATATGCAGGTCGTAATTACAAAATGTTTGTTGTATTTCACTGGAATACATTTCTACGTTCAGTAGTTTTTTTTCTCTTTAGACTGCAATTCAGTGTTCGCAATTCTCAGGTTGGTAATGCTGAGTAAATGAAAATTGGTTTGCAGAAGGACTACAGAAAACTGCTAAGGTATTACCTAAGAGAGGGAAAACAAAATGAATTCGGACAGCTTCATCCAGCCAGTGCAAAGAACAATTTATTTGCCAACCTTTCAAAAATCAAGCTGATAACTGCATTATCTTGTGCAAACTTGGCTAATTTATCTTTATTTTAAAGGTGAGGAAATGAAAGTGAGAGATTAAATTGCTGGGTCTAGGTTAGCAGTGGGGTCAGGAATAGAATGGAGGGACCATGACCTCCAGTTCTACACCCTACACATAAATGGAGCTGACTTAAACTACACTACTACTACTACTAATTACTACTGCTACTAAGCTTTACTCCTAATTGCCAACCATATTCTGTGACGAGTTAAACAAAGTAAAAATCACAGTATTTATCAGTTTATGCTCACGTTTCAAGAAGCTTAACAAAAAGCTAGTCAATGGAAATGGATTGTCCCGAGCAGCCCAAGCTCCCTCTGCCCCCACAACCAACCAACAGTGCAGTTACATTGACTGATCATACACCACTTAAGTAAAAAAGAGGCTTCCTAAAGTACATAGGGGAACAGGCCAGGGTACATTAAAAGATTATTTCATTTTTTTTTTTCATTTTCATAATACATACAGTTTGGTTAGTGCTTATTTTATCTCTTCATAATAATTCCTTTTTTTTTTTTCTCCCAACTACTCCAGCAGCTAAAGAATTTTTAAGAAATTGGGATCATTAGCAATTTCCTCCACAAATGGAATTGTCTCCTGAGCTGCTTCAGGGCATCCACATCACCAAAGTGCTAACACAGTAATAGCCTGATGCAAACCTGCAATCCACTGACATTGCCAGCCTGATAATTATTCATGAAATTATCTTTGTACTCCAAAAGACTGTTTTAAAACATGCATTTCTGAATGTCACAGGAGAAACATCTAGAGGTTAGAGGCCTTGGTAGTGGGTTCGTGTAATGTCAGCAGAAGAATTAGAATTAGTTAACATGAGATTTGACCACTATCCTACAGGAGCCAGGTTTTATTTTATATTTTTTTTCTTAAAGACTCAGGCACTTCCAAAAGCAATAAGCACTTACAGAGGTGTTCAATTATCTTTTTCTCACAGATAAATTGCCCCTGAAGACCCGGTTAGGGTTGGAAGGGACCTCTAGAGATCATCTAGTCCAAACCCCCTGCACGTGCAGGGTCACCTAGAGCACGTGGCACAGGACTGCGTCCAAGCGGGTTTTGAAGATCTCCAGAGAAGGAGACTCCACAACCTCTCTGGGCAGCCTGTTCCAGTGCTCTGTCACCCTCACTGTTAAGAAATTTTTCCTTAAGTTCCTGTGGAACTTTTGATGCTTCAGTTTCTGGCCATTACCTCTAGTTCTGTTGGTGGCCACCACTGAAAAGCAGCCAGCCCCATCCTCCTCACTGCCTCCCTTGAGGTACTTCTAGACACTGCTCAGGTCCCCTCTCAGCCTTCCCTTCTCCAGGCTGGTCCTCTACTTAATCTTAGTTTCCCATCTATAAAAAAGAATTATAGTCACGAAATACTCACCAAATACGTCTGAGCAAATCAATTGAATGTTCTTATAATATTACTAAAGCCCCATAGTATTGACTTCCTTGACAAAACATGGAAAGACTCCTTGGAGAAGGTGACTCGAGTAAGATATGGAGGAGAGGAATATAACTTGTAAATGACTCTTGTTAAGGGAAAAGTCCATCAAGTTTCTATTCTGGTAAGACCATTTGGTGACTGAGGTAAAAAACAATCTGAAAAACACCAATACCTGTATAGCTAGTTGATCAAGTCTATGGCTTAAAAAGCCTATGTGTGAATCTAGTCACTTAAAATAAATGTGGACCCAGTGAATTTGTTTAGTGATTGCTTTTTTTGCTATTGTATTTTTAAAGATATCTTCCTCCCCAAATTCAAGTATATATAATTTTCTAACTGAAAAAAAAAAATCCAGAAAATATCAGTGAGCTAAAATGCAAAACGATTTTTGATTTAATAATGTTACTAAGGAAAACACATTTGGAAATGATGATACTCAGTATGCAATAACTACTATAAGCAAATAAAGCATTAGTTCACAAAATAAAATTATGTTACATATATCTTTATTACAGTTTTCAGAATACATGGATTAACAATTGCCAGGCTGCAATTTCATCAAATTCTTATTTTAAACATAACTTACAAACACATAGCTGGTTAAATAATAGAAATTTTGACTTTTGTTACTTTTTTCTTTCTTTTTCCTTTTGGCATCAGGAGTCATATAACCTCCAAAATAGAAACCAAATGGTGCACGTAACAGACCATAACTAAACTGTAATAATCATTCACATTCTGTGGCATATGTATCACCCCAAACAGTGCTAAAGTACGTTCTATAGGGAATATCCCCTTTAATATTTTCCTAATGACATCAGTTGGTGTTTCAACGACAGCTTGCAGGACTGCAGAGTTCAGCAGAAGACCTGCACAACCCCCTTTGCTGTGCTTGAAAGCAGTATGTGCTCTGCAACAGAGGCACCTGAAGCTGAGGGATTTGGCTTTAGCTGCTTTGATGAGATACATATAGATATATAAATGTATATTTTACTTACATTTTTGTGCATGAGTGGGTGTTTACGTAGATACTGGAGAAGAAGAGATGTGGAGGTTTCTTACAATACTTAAAATGCAGAATGTGCAAATACATTATGGCACATATGAGATGCGATACCTTTACACTGCTTTGTCTCCCAGCATTTATTATGCCTGACCTTTCAGCAATTTGAAGGCAAACATTAAAGCACATTCAGCCGAACCTTTGTTTAATGGATAAGAAGCAATTTACATGTACAGATAAGTTTGCTCCCACGTAACTATTACCAGCTTTAAATATTTACTAGCCATATAATTCTCAAATAGGAAGTACTAAATTCACCCATCAAAGCAAGATCCTTCGTGCCCAAGAGATGCAAAAGCCAAACTCTGCTAAGGTTTCTTAATGAATGCTACAGACAGGAGGATCCAGAGAGCCAAACCTAAATCTCAGCCAGATTCTCAAAGTTCTGCAAACCATGTGGAAATCGTGGGATGACTTCAAAGTAGGCCACTGACGAATTGTGCTCTGGAGAGACACCATGAAAACATGATGGTTTCTGCAGCACTTGCTGAGGTAGTACATAGACCACACACAAAAATGCAAGAATAGACTCATATTCGCAACTGTTTGCATATTGTGAAAGGGAACTATGGGAATTTGGGAATTGGATCTAAGTTTTTTAAAAAAAGAATAGATAATTTCAGATAACATATTTGATATTTACCACAGTTGCCTGAAACCAGGACAGATCATGGAATGGTATTTCCAGCAATACTTCTTTGAGTTGCTTGTCAATGCCTTCCGAGGCACTAATTTTGTTTTGGCTACAGAATGAGCTCAAAATATAGTTGACATAAAAAAAAAAAAAAAAAAAAAAAAAAAAAAGAAAAATTTTTTTTTGCTGAACCCCACACAAACATACATGATATGAACTGAGTTGCACTTGTTTTCTAGGCAAACTTTCTGCACAAAACATGAGTACATAAAATCTAGTGTCTTTACATTTTGGATCTGTACACCAAGCAGTTTTAAGCAACAGAAATATATATTTGTATATGACTTAAATGTTTCTTTCCCATGTCAATTGCAAATTTAGTTCATTTCAAAGGTAACTATTTTCCTCTTAAAAAACTAAGAAATGTAAACAGTGTAACATCATAAAAAATCTCTTCACTACTTAGGACTGGTAAAATGTGAATGCGAACAGATGTGCTGGTATATTGTTCATGTAATGTCTCAGAGGACATACAGTGAAACATAATTAGCAAGAAATTTATGTATGAATCCTCCAGCGATTTACTTTCTGGGATTACCTTGAATACAAATATAATTTAACTGATATATTTCACTTTTTAAAATTAGAAAATAAGGCAAGTGCATTTCTGAAGAAGGTGCTACACTTCTAGGATACTAGATAAACCTGTGACAATTCTGAAAATTATATCAATAATAAAAACATCAAAAATATCTGCAATTTAATATAGACTGAAAAACTATCAAAAGACAAAGTGACCAGCATCAGTTTCAGAAAATATTTTAGACTTCATAAATACAAGCACCCTATATTTACATAAATTATCTTCTAAACTAGTTTTCCTTGGAGACACACTTTTGTTCTAAGTCTGTGAAATTATATAAATGTTTTAAATACGAAAAAGTAGTAAAATAGAAATATCAGATGTTATTATTTTGGACTTGCTTTTGCTAACATTTGGTTCTTCACAATCTGCAGTCAGCTCTTACAGAGCTTTCAAAAACACAACTAATGGAAATGGAAAACTGGTGCATTAGTACAGTATAAAGACTCTATTGAGAGCTGTTGAGGCTTTACATATAAAGATTACACCAGTATTTGTAAATCCTAGTCAAACACTTATTTTAAAAATTAAATGGGAATACACTGTTTTATTGTAGTACAAATTCATATAGTCATTATGCATCTAATCCTTTCACACTAGCTTTGTACATTAAGCATATTGTGTAACTGTAAATTTAATATTTCAATTAAAAACTTATGCTTCAATACAAGGTTGATTTTGAACTTACACAAAACAGAATATAATCTTTTCCTGAAAAACTGGGAGACAGAATCCCATTACATGCATTTTTTTTTTCTAGAAGTACCACCTAACTCTTTAAAAAACAAAACAAAACAAAAAAAACCCACCCCACCCCTAAACCCAAACCGTTTAGGTACAGTATTAGTTGACAGCACACATTTCACTGGGCTTCAAGAATGTTCCTATGGCTAGAGACATATCACTGGGCAAAAACCTTGTTTCCTTTGAAGCCCATGTTTTTTTTTTCTTTTATTTCAATAGTAGACTGAAAATGAGTTGTATCTCTTCTTGCAATAATTGGAGTCACTAGAGTCTGAAATCATAAGAATTTATCCCAAACTAGTCAGCTAATCTTTACAATATTTCACTAGAAAAGCAAAAAGAATCTACTGTACAAAGATGCTTGGCTCAAGCAGTAGTGCAAAGTTATACTGCCCCAGTATTGATGCTCCTCTAAAGTTATCAGTTAGTGCACAAAAAATACCCACTGTTACACCTGACTCTCCAAACACTGTTTACATAACATCAAAAAAAAAAAAAAGTTCCCCATAGCCTCAGGCAATAAAAATATTCACAATAATTCATCAGTCAGTGAAAAGTAATAATTTGAGAACAAGTGCCATCTCCTACATCCTACCCTACTTTGGAGAAGGTCCTAGCTGAGCAGCACGGGAGCACTTCCATCTCAGCTCCCACCCGAAACCCTCCACCTGGTGCAGGTTCGCAGCAACCTGCAGAGCGAAGGAGCCCAAGGTTGACCTGGCCACCAGAACAGACCATACATTCAACTCGCGTTTGGGAAGGGGGTTCACCCTTGAGTGGCAGAACGTGGACACTGTCCTCTGCTAAGCTGCAGTGCAGGGCTCCAAAAAGGGCTGCGCAATCACTGCTCACTGCTGCTGCACAGGGCTCCACGGAGAATTTATTTATTTTTTAATCTGCTTTATCCTCCGCACTAAAATCCATCAGTCGAGATCTTACTACATATTTTACCTGAGAAACAGAAAAGCTCAGAGGCAATTCTGAATAGATTCATAATGTCACCTTTCTCTAAAAACCTAAACAAAGGTTTATTAGAGCAATTAAAATAGTACAACTGTATTTCCCCCCCAAAATATCTGTATAAAGAACAGAAGTGATAGAAGTGCATAATTAGAAAATCCCTCCTAAGATACAGTTAAAAACATATTATGTCCTTGGTATTACTTAACTTTGGTAAAATCCTATGCTCTGATTTTATTTATTTATTTATTTATTTATTTTAAGCAGTGATAAGTAACTCTACATCATCAAATTACCAAAAGTGTGGCTAAGTGGTAAATCCTACAGCAGAATCCACCACTGAGAAGATTTTCAGCAGCCTGACTGGGGCTGTGCATTGCTTTTGCATGACTACAAAAACGACTCTGAGAATGTTTATCAGCCCAGGTCCAAAAGCATTTATATACTAATTTCTTACTTTCTCCTTTCATGCCCAACTCAGAACTGCAGACCTTTCTATGACCCAATCATGTCCACAGTTGTATTATCTCAACAAATTCATATTTTCTACTCCATATAAGATTTCCTAGAAATTCTCAACTCCTTTCAGGTAAAATGCCAGCTTAAAAAAATAAAAATAACCCTCCCCACACCCAGTAACATAAGGAAATAAGATAGAGTGCCTGTTGTTTAACACTGTTTACAGATCTTGGTAGTTGGGGTACTAAAATACAGCATGTGTAGTATGTAGCAATAGCTTTAAAAATACAACATATTTACACATCTCTTGATTTAATCAATACCACTATTCATTATGATTATTACCATTTTTTTGTTAAGCTCTTTTCAAAGTATATCATTTTTATTGTAAATAAAACAATTCGCTAATTCTTTGGCATCAGAGAAATCATAGAGCTGTGATGGTTCCATTGTGGCGAGAACGAGACCTTTCCAAAGTTACTCGTCTGTTATCTGTAATACAAAGAGAGAAAAAACAAATCACCATAAGATTTGAAACATGGGTAATGCAATGTCAAGAGGTTTTCAAACAGCCCTGAAAATCATTTCAAATGATATGTAAATAAGTAACTAGGAGCCTGGATCAGAGAAGTTTCACACTGCAGCTGCCAGACTGAGTTCAAGAGTTCTGCAATCAGCAATAAATTGCTTTCTTGATCAGAGAAGCAGGGTGATAAAAGCATTGGGAGAATCCTGAAACAGAGTCCCCTTGGAAATAGCACACAATAACTAAAATGCTGGGTAAAAATCTTATTTTATAAACAATTTATGTGCAGAAGCTCTGGAGAAATGCATTTTAAGTTTCAAGAGAATGTATGATGAGAGTGGAGTGAAAAGCCTACCACAAGGCAGACTAGATGCAGAAGAGCTCTAAGGTTGTTCACTATAATTTGGTGCTGAGTTAAAAATAGAAGAGTTAAATGAGCCATTTCCTAAGTATTTCCTGATTGTGCAATGTGAACAACTTCTGATATAAAATATTACACAGTAATTACTGCAATGAATAATAAATATACCTCTGTCAAAGGAAAAGAAAACAATCACAGATCAGCACATACATACGTGCCTTTAAAATACATCTTTAAAGCAATGAATATGGAGAAAAAAAATGAGGTGCAAAAAAGAGTAGCTTAGGGTTTGAGGTTTATTTATTTACTGGCAGGGAGGAAGGGCATGTTAGTTTTCTGGGGGGTTTTGATCTCACTGTTTCTTACATGTGGTCCTGCTACTATATTTCACTTTTGACTTAGCTTTAGCTGTTCTCTCACTTCATATTTAGCATTCGCTGTACTGTCGGTACAGGAGCTAACTTGCTACAGCATGAGAATGTCCCAATTTATGGCTGGAACGCCTAGGTACTGCTGTAATATTAAAAAAACAACAGTAACTTCAGAGGCAGAGGGCGCGACAGACAAACTGCAAACAAGCAGGTTTCTCAGCTTTTTTTTCCAGGTGAGATGATAAGTTAGATCTGTGCCTGCAGTGAAGCAGGCTAGAAAAATGTGCATTACTGCTACTGCTGTGAGAGTGCAGAAACAGGACAGCAAGCCTGAGACATAACATGTTTGATAGAAACCTATTCTTGGACATAAGATATTGACTGAATTGCTACCATTCTACGCCAGCAAAGCCAGAAGTGAATAAAGTCCTGAAATGGAGAAAGCCACCTTTGATTTGCATCTGAGCCAGCAACAGAGGATGTTTGTGCAGACTGCCTGCGCTCTGCAAAAACCACCTTCCTTTTCCTCATCCAACGACAGTGCTATAGGGAATTATGGCTCCTTTAGCAAGATTATTAGTTCTTTTTATAGTTCTGCCTTGCCTCCTTTTCCTAATGAATCTATCCATGCATAAAGTATTAAAATTACCCCAAGTAAATCTGTTTTGCAAGGGAATAAATCTCTGCACTGGTTGCAGTGTCACTAGGCACTGGAAATGAGAGAAAAATGCTGTCTAAAAAACAGGATGGGGAGATATCAACTCAAATGTG